TGTTGCGGCACTCGCCGGGCTGGCACACCCCGGGCAGGGCACACTCGTTAATGTCTGTGACAGGTACGGCACACCTGAGCCGTGTGTGACACACCTGAGCTGAGTGTGACACACCTGAGCCGTGTGTGACACACCTGAGATGGGTGTGACACACCTGAGCTGAGTGTGATACACCTGAGCCGTGTGTGACACACCTGAGCTGAGTGTGACACACCTGAGCTGGCTGTGACACACCTGAGATGGGTGTGACACACCTGAGCTGTGTGTGACACACCTGAGTGTGACACACCTGAGCCAAGTGTGACACACCTGAGCCGTGTGTGACACACCTGAGCTGAGTGTGACACACCTGAGATGGGTGTGACACACCTGAGCCAGGTACAGCACACCTGAGCCGTGTGTGACACACCTGAGCTGAGTGTGACACACCTGAGATGGGTGTGACACACCTGAGCCAGGTACAGCACACCTGAGCCGGGTGTGACACACCTGGGGTGGCTGTGACACACCTGAGCCGGGTGTGACACACCTGGGGTGGCTGTGACACACCTGAGCCGGGTGTGACACACCTGAGATGGGTGTGACACACCTGAGCTGTGTGTGACACACCTGAGCTGAGTGTGACACACCTGAGCTGTGTGTGACACACCTGAGCCAGGTACAGCACACCTGAGCCGGGTGTGACACACCTGAGCCGTGTGTGACACACCTGAGCTGAGTGTGACACACCTGAGCCAGGTACAGCACACCTGAGCCGGGTGTGACACACCTGAGCTGTGTGTGACACACCTGAGCCATGTGTAACACACCTGAGCCGTGTGTGGCACACCTGAGCTGTGTGTGACACACCTGAGCCAGGTACAGCACACCTGAGCTGTGTGTGACACACCTGGGGTGGCTGCGACACACCTGAGCCGGGTGTGACACACCTGGGGTGGCTGTGACACACCTGAGATGGGTGTGACACACCTGAGCTGGCTGCGACACACCTGAGCCGGGTGTGACACACCTGAGATGGGTATGACATGGGTGTGATACAGGTGTGAGATGGGTGTGGCACAGGTAGAACACACCTGGCACAGGTGACACAGCTGTGACCCAGGTGTGTCACAGGTGTGAAGCAGGTGTGACAATGGTGTGACACAGGTAAAGCACACCTGGCACAGGTGATACAGGTGTGATACAGGTGTTGCACAGGTAGAATACACCTGACCCAGGTGTGTCACAGGTGTGACTCAGGTGTGACCCGGGTGTGTCACAGGTGTGACCCAGATGTGACCCAGGTGTGACCAGGTGTGCTCCAGGTGTGACCCAGATGTGACCCAGATGTGACCCAGGTGTGACCAGGTGTGACCTGGGTGTGACCCAGGTGTGACCAGCTGTGCTCCAGGTGTGACCCAGATGTGACCCAGGTGTCATTCAGATGTGACCCAGGTGTGACCAGCTGTGCTCCAGGTGTGACCCGGGTGTGATCCAGGTGTGACCCGGGTGTGACCCAGGTGTGACCAGCAGTGCTCCAGATGTGACCCAGATGTGACCCGGGTGTGTCACAGGTAGAACGCACCTGACCCAACCCCCCCCCCACACACCTGGCCGTGTGTGCCAGCCCCTCGCACACCTCTCACACACCTGTCCCCCCACACTCCCACCTCCCCCCAGTGCCCCCCGACCCCCCCACGCCCCCCAATCCCC